CGCTGGGGGGGGGGGGGGGGGCCACAAAAGGCAGTGGGGAAAGCTAGGTAGCTGTAAGCAGTGCTCAGAAGAACTTTAGACTTATAGCAAAGACCAGGTCATTGTCAAAGTAAGTCAGCAGGATTTTAAAGAAAAAGGAGAAATTTTTTATTAACCCCCTACATGCAAGAATCCCACAATTACGATTTTCAGAAGTTCAAAATACTGTTTGTGGAACTTCCTTAGTTATTTGTGCTTCCCACAAATGACAAGACTTCCTCCATTGCCATGCTGTCTTGACATTACAGAGGAATGAGTGGAAAGAAAAAGAAAGTAAAGAGACTTTTAAGCTTTGCCTTTGATAAGGCCTAGGCCAGGGGGAGGCAACCCCAGGCATGTGTACCAAAGCATGGCATGCAAAGTGTAGTGCGCAGGTTTGTTATTACCCTGAAATAGAATAGTTTTCTGATAGCATACTGTTAGGTTAACAATAATTTAGATTATTAAGAAGTATTAGCTTTACAGCTGAATACAAGGCATGACCTGTGGCCTAGCAATGCAGCTGACCACAAGGCAGATTGATAGCTAAGCCTTTGCTTGTGTCAAGTAATCATTTTAACTGTATTAAGCATTTTCTGAGTTAAAAACAGCAAGTATCTCTGTGTCTGTGTGCTGAAAAATCAGCTACAGCAAGAAGTAAGATAAGACAGGGAAACCATTGTTCTGGGTGCACTGGTTGTGTCCTTGAGAAGTATCTACTACTGTGTAAGGTTTTGCTAACATATTATAATGTTACTGTTACTTAACTTTTAGCTTTTTAAAAAGTGCTAGTTCAGCTTAATAAAAATATACTGTTACAAAGATTTAAAAAGCACCGCCCAAGTATTGCTTTTTTTGTTAACCATAAAGTCTTGCCTTGTTGTAATAAGTATAAAAGATCACCTCACCCTTGGGGGGGGGCATTTTGCCTTTTGCTGGCTTTATGGTCTTTGCTCGAGCAAATAAACAGCTGTCTTTCTTTACCCGCGTTGTCTGTCAATCAAATTACAGCTAAACAACGAACCTTAGGGAGGTTTCTCCCACCACAAAAGCTAATACTTCTTAATAATCTAAATTATTGTAAACCTAACAGTATGCTTATCAGAAAACTATTCTATTTCAGGGTAATAACAAACCTGCGCACTACAAATCCTCCCTTTGTTCCAATTTTTCAGGAGAAATTTTGGAACACACTTTTAGGTATTTAACTTCTTGTGGGGTTAGGTTTTGATGATTGATGCTGGATATTTGTACAAACTGACCATACATTTTTACTTGCCTTTGCATAAACTGTTGTCCTAGAGAGCACAGACACTGAAAACAGCACAACAGGCAGATTATAGTTATAACAATTCCGATTAAGCTTAATACAAAAGGTCTAAGCCATCCTGTAAGGGAAGGCAACCAATTAGTGAGCCAACTAAGAGATGTGTCTTTGGGGATTTTAGCTATATCTTCGGCTTTTTGGATATGGACAGCTGCATCATTGAGGTGGGTTTGTACTATTGTAAAAGAACTGTTAACCCAAACACAACATTTTGGTCCGATAACCGCACAAGCTCCCCCTTGAGCAGCAAGGAGAAAATCAAGGGCTATACGGCTTTGAATGACCATTTGTCGGAGTTCTTCTTGGGTGT